AAAATTAAGTGTTTTATGAATCTCTTGCTCTAGTCGTTTACTGTATGTATCACTAGAAGCATAATAACTAATTGCTGAGAAAGTATGATTGCTAAATATTGCAGTTTCATTCTGAGTTCGATACTGGAGTGAATGCTTACTTTCATCAAATGCAACATAAATAAAACTAATCGTTTAAAAAAATTTGCCCAAATTTCTGTTGTAAAATTATTAGCACTGTAAGCAGACTGAATGTCTATTTTGAATTCACTGAAGTGTTTTTTCACAAAATTCGGAAAGATTAGAAAGTTTGTTTATTGTATAATAAAGAATGTTCAAAAAGGTCTCTGCATCTTTATTTTATTATATATTGATTCTATGCGTATATATCCAAACACGAAATTCCTAAAAATAAATTATATAATATTATGAAAATGGCTTCTGCATGGTGGGGAGGGTTCTCCTTCTCCTTCCTGTGCAAAATTAATAGACATACTAATAAATTTTTATGCGGCTCTTATCGAGGCAAATTTCTAATTAATAAACCATTATATTTTTAATTAATTAAAAGAATACATTAAAAAATCTGAAGGCTTTTAGATTTTACATTATGCCCAAGAGGGCGTTTTTTTAACGTTTTGTGGGTTACACTTTATTTCTTAAATATGTTCTTCGCACTTAAACCACAAACGGCAATATCGCAAACTAATTTTAAAATGAGCATAGCTTTAGAATTTCTGAGTCTTGCGCGCTGGGGCTTTTTTTTTTTTTTTTTTTTCAGTTTTACCTGTATTTGCTTTGAAATCGTTGAGTTTGTTAATTAAAAGTTCGTTAAAGTTTTACAAAATATGAAATATATAATAAAACAAATTCCAAATTTGGGCTTCTGGATGCCCATATTAATTTTGCACAGGGATTTTGCACGTACGGTATTGAAAATTTGATGGCTGTGGGAACCGTCGTTTTATCACAATGCGCGAAACATACATACGTTTATGCAGATTCTTCATTATTTAAATATAATACAGGGTTGTAATATTTGGTGGCAACAGTTTGAAAAGTGAACCGGCATTTAAAGTTTTCAACGCAAAATGCCAAAACGAAATTAATTCTTTCATTTTAATTTATTTTTATTTTTATTCTTTCATCTTTATGTATACATTTATTGGATAGCTTTTATAATACCAATACTGATGATATTATCCATTATGAAATAGTTCATAAATAAACGAAGTTAAGTGCTTTTAACGGGAATTAAAATTTAAGGTGAAAGAAATGTATTGCTAGTACTATATGCTTTATGTTTTTGTATTTCACTCAAGCAAGCTAATTTAATCATTGGTTTTATGAGTACTAAAATAATTAGTAACGCATTCCCAAAAAAACGTAATTTTTTGGTGATTACATTGCTTTACGTTGATATAATTTCATTACCATTTGTTTGGTGCTGATGGAAAAGCATGCACGTAATTAGAAAATTTTGAACGTAGGAAAAGAAATGGTGGAGAATGAAATTAGTATTTAAAGTTTTTCTTCTGGTTACGTGGCCAGAGCGGACAGTGGTTACAGCGGACACTGCGAAACTCATCGTGGTCAGAGCGGACACATTATTTTCCCCATCATGGAACAGATAAAGGGTGCAGATAAATAAGTAAATAAATACTTTTAAAAATCACAAATATAGTTTAAAACAGTATTTTAAGTGGCAAATCTCTTTCACGTGGGATAAACGTTTTTTTTTCACCGAAGTTTTTCTGTTTTTGCACTCGATTATCGAATTACAAGGATAAATACATTTTTGCCAATCAAATTTAATTATTTATATTAAATTGTTAAGATATTATAGTGCAAATGCATTTTATACATAGCAAAATGTAATAAAAATAAAAACTTTCAGAGAAATATTTAAAAATTAATAGTAAGTAACAATAGAATGAAGGTTATGAACGAACTCCAGGGGATTTTGTGGAAAACTGTATTTTAGAGTCAAATAAATATTAGAACAATGCAACTGCCATAAATTTAATTAGTTTCATTAATGTAAGTAAAAATAAAAACTAAAAGTAAATATATAAAACAGATACAAGTAAATAAAGAAAAAAAATACTAATTAACCTTTATTATAAAGGCATAAATATCATTTACCATTGAATTTAGTCCAACCTAGTTACAAAAACTTAAAGAGTTCAGACATTTTTCTAAATTGTTTGATGTTTCGAATTCCTTAAGGATGTTTTCAATTCTTTCATCCCAATTTTACGTATGCTTTTTTCCTTTTTATTCCAGGGTTCGCCTAATTCTCTGGATTTCAAATTAAAAGACACTTTTTGTCTTCCTTCTTTTAGTATTCTGAACTAATAAGTGGACATTAGGCTGGTTTCTGCCAGTGATTGCATTTAATTTGGAAATTCCACCCTTCAACAGAATTATTTGTCCTATGACGCTGTCCATATATACATTCCATACTTTAATGGGCGCATATTTGAATTGTCCATCCACTGCTTGACAAATAATCAATGAATGTGGTAAGTTTGTCAATGCTAAAAGCTTTTGCCCATACAATGCTCCAAGCATCATCTATGTGTTCCATTGGCAAGTAAGCTAATGTAGAAATCATTCTACAAACATTTCTTATATCTTCGTTCTCTTTATATTCCTTTACTAGACCCACTTCTTGTATCTTACGCCACAAACATTGATTAAAATGAAAGTTACAACCGGAAATAGTCGAACTGGGAAATTCTAACATACAACTATTGATGGCTGCGGCTTCAAAATCCAATTTTATAATGTCCGGCTTCCACTTAGGGCACCAACGTTTCACTTCCTGAAGCATTGCAATGTAAGTTGCTTGTCTCTTATCAGGCAGAAATGCAAAAAGCGCTGGGTAAACGTTGGTCTCAGTTGCTGTACTCCTTAAATCGACGTGTATTGTATATATTTGAGCAAATTGTTTCGGACAACTTTTAAACGTTCCATCTAAGAAAAAAGTCTTTCCATTTTCCAAAAGTTACAGAGATTCTTCTCCTCCAAATACTAAAATCCTGTTACCTTGGTCATTTTGAAAGTCTAAGCGAAGAAAGTTTTCTCCATTAGAAAGGAAAAGTGTATCGTTTGCAAACTGAATGTCATTGGCATTTTGGGGATTTTGAGTAGCTCCCAAAGCCTTTCTCCTCTCCTTACATAAAGCAGTTTTGGCATTGGAGTATGTCGGTATTTTAGCACGAAATCATAACCTTTCTGATATAATTCTGAAAGTTCTTGAAATATCTGGGGAACGGGAACTGATGTTTCTTCTGCAAGTCTCTAACTTCCTTTTAACTTCGATCTTAGCAACGTTGAGCGGGCAGGAATGTTCAGTTTTCTTCAGTACTTCGTACTGAAAATTTGTCTTCACATTTCCTTTACAATGATGTGTCTTTTCTTTTACACATACCCAACTCATTCCTAATTTATTTTTTCGGTGTAAACGGTGTGGGTAATCATCTACAACTAAACATTCTTTTCCTTTTTTTGTAGAGAGTAATTTTGTTGAAAAGGCTATGGGTTCCATCACAGATTTTTTCGACGATATAAAACGACATACACACTTCAGGATCGAACATCTACTAAGAAAATGAGAAAGGCCTTCTCTCTTAAAAGTATCGGCTTATCTCTACAGCAGGTGCAAAGCTCGAAACTACACAATAGATCACATTTGAGTGATTAAGGAAATAACACAACAGGTGCAAGAATGTCCGCTCTGCCCACCCAGCTCCCCTCACGTGTCCGCTGTAACCACTGTCCGCTCTGACCACGTCCGCTCTAGCCACACCACCTTTCTTCTCTGCTTAGGTTGTTGCTTAATGGGGCTTGTAACGAATTATGGTATTCTCGTGGGCATTAAAAAAAGATAGTTCAAATGAAATCTGTTAATAAGATTGTCACAAGCTTATAACTACGAGATGTCAACGTTAACTGTAAATATTCTTTGCAATTTTAATCCAGAATAAGTCTTACTTTAATAAACACTCGTGGGAGATTGGGAACAGTAACAATAAACCAATTATAAGTTTTTTTTTTTTTTTTTTTTTTTTTTTTGTTTTTGTTTTTACCTTATTACAAATCGCGCGCGAACCGTAGGAAATATGCTGGAAAAGTCGTCTTAGATTATGTAAAAATTGCCGCAAGTTGCTTATAATATTTATCTCGTTGAATGCCATTTCTGGTTGGTCCTACATTATAGAAGAAAATCGATTTCAAATAGTGACATCATTTCAGCTGCACAGAGGTTCACTCAAGTGCTTCCAATAGCATGCCTTCACTCCATGTTTTGAAAAATGGACTGAGCAATGGGCCTTTTGCATATTATTTGAAAGAAAGCGTTTTGAAAAAGAGTAACGTGCTTTTTACTATTTTTTTTTACTCTGTTTTTAATAAATATCTTTTGTACACTGTTATATCTTTTGTACACTTTTTTTACTCTGTTTTTAATAAGTATCTTTAATAAATATTTTTTGTAAATTCTTTCTGCCACCAGTCATACATGAAACCATGTATGACTGGTGGCAGAAGCTGCATTTAACTTGCAAGAAGATTTATTATTGTTAAAGGGAGGAATACCAAATTTACATGATTTTTGTCACTAGCAACAAGAAACAGCGTAAGCTGCATAAATTTGCTGGACGAAGGTATGAATAGTTTCTAATCCATCTTTATCTTTAGCTTTTAAGGAAATTATTTAATAGCAAATTTCACTTTTTTGTCAGTAGATGGCACCTTTCCTTATTTGGAGCTTTCTGGAATAATCTGGTCTAATATTATTGCGTCAGCACAGGCTTTTCTTCATCGTTTTCATTTCTGCAACTGAAGAAGAAGGTTCTATTCAAACCTTCGGAACTAGTCCTGCAAATTTATGCAACTTATGCTGATTCTTGTTGCTTTATATCCAAAATTTGTTCTGCGTCATGCAATTTTAGTTAATATTATTATAGTATTTATCTTAAAAGTAATATGTCAGTTTTGCAATAAAGAACAAGAAATACTGAAGCAACAAGCAAGCTTTATTAACAGTCTCCAATAAATATACAAGTAACAATGGCTGTAAAACAATTTTATCACATAACCGCAAGCTTGAAACAATGAGCACAAGTGAAGAAAATGGACATGAAGGTAGTCATCATTAACTATTTGGCACTAAATTAAACTCTTTGATTAAAATTAAGCTGGCATTTACAGAACAGCAAAAATCAATAGTCTGCGTAAATTTTTAATATATTATCACAAGCAACGAGTCGGAGTAAGTGTAAATAAGATCAAAATAAATCATGTAAGAAGCGTTTGATAAGCATCTTCTTACATTCATAACACGTGAGATTGTTTTTATATTATATAAATGTTTCTGTAGAGGAGAGGGAAGGAAGTCATACCTCACTGAGATAGGTTGAGAAGATTTATCATTTATCTTGCCCAGAATGAGAGGTCGGCAATGCACTTGAGACAAACGAATTTTTAGCATAATTGGTAAGTTACTAATTCTTTATGTAAATATAAATATGTATGTACATGATTAAGTATTCTTACCGCAGAACTATCATGCAAGTGACAACATTTACTTCTTACTAGTTCCTAAAACTTTTTCAGAGTCATAACCAATTGCCTGGCCACTTTTCATTTTCTCAATGAACTTTGTGGTCTGAGAATTTGTGAGATACTGAGGTAACATTTTGATAACTTACATCAATTCCAGGAACAAATAAAAAGTATGCAGTCATTAACAATTTTTTCATTAGCTGCATGTGATTTACGCCGACCTCTACAAGGCATTATTCTAAATATTATATATAATATTTCTACATTCCATAAGCTTCCAGTTGTGCAGTAATCTGCATACTTCACTGTGAATCCAGTGGCCAAAAGAAGCAGATATAGAATTATATTTTATAGAATAATTTTTTGTAAATCTATATCTTTGGAATGTGATTGTCTGTTAGTTAACTAGCTCTTGAAATAAAATAATAATAAGTAAACAAGCTGTGAAAGCACCATGCTTATTTACATTTGTGGATCTAAAATTATTTCAAGTTTGAGACATTGCATACGGTTTGATTAATGGGAGGAAACTTGGAGAGGTTTCACTTCTGACTTCATGCTGATGTTTATCAGATTTCAGCAAATTTTGTTACATTATTCTGTAATGTGTGAATACATTAGAAGGTTACATTTCATAGCACTTTTAGAAAAAAAAAAAATTATATTGAAGCTAGATAAAATAAGATTTAACAAACATTTTACAGATTTGTATATTGAAGCTACAAGCAATACATAACAAAGAGGTAACACATTTTACAGGTTTATTTCATTGGCTGAAAGTTTAATTTGATTGGAATTATAATTCCATAAGAATTAATTAAAAAATATATTTTACAATAATCACTTCCAAAACTAAAAGGGGAAAAAATGTTGTTTTTCATATAAATTACATTTTTATAATTAAAATAATAATAAATAAATCATTCATTTGATATAGTTTTAAGCTGCCTACAAGCATTTCAAATGCTTAAAATTTTATTAAAAGATGAACTTTTTTTTTAAAACTTTCTTGCGTTTGATTATTTGATCTGGATATTGTGCAAGTTCTCTTCGCAATTAAATTCAACAACCATAAAAATTTCAAGCATTTAATACAATTTTAAAACTAATTGAAAAAACTGAATTAATTAAACGTTCTAATTTTCATTTCTAAAATCAAGATCATCCACTGCATTATTTAAAAAACTTATCACTCCTTTGTATTAAAATTACTAGTTTTGCTAAAACAACTATGCTCAGTGGCAGGGAAAATTGTATTGAAATGTGCTGTACTATAACGTACAATAAGTTCTTGATTTCGCGATTTAATTAAGTTAAAAGAAAAATACTGTCATCATCATTCATAGTACATTCTGTGTTAATAAGCTCCCTTTTCTTATGTATTCATAAGCATGATCTGAAATACTTGCCAGAGATCTAAAATTATCCTAATTTTCTAGCTCGTAAATATAGATATTGCTGAAAATTAAATTAGTTAGAGAACCAATAAAAAAATTACTGGACTATTTTTATGCAAATTAAATGCAATAAAAATGTTTAAAAGTACTCTTCTTCCCTTGCTCAAGTATATATAGCATAACAGTTATTAAAACAAGTACTAAAAATGATTTATAATGAAATTGATGCAGACGAAACATAAAATTCAAAATTTTTAAACTATAAGTTTTACAAAACTATTTTAAAAATGAAAAGGGGTTAATAATTCAAAAAGAATCTTTTTGATTTCGTTTTTATTATTGCCTTTTCTATTGATTTTAATATCGTGATTAAAATTGCATTGAACTAAATATGCAGTTAAAAAAACTTTTAATGAATAATGAAGTAACTGTATTTAAAACAGTAACAATTAATGAATGATAATAAGCAATTTTATTAATAATAAAATAATTGCATTTAAAGTAATGATCTTATAAATATGCATTAAAATATTGAATAACTGAACTGCTAACTGGCTTAGAGAAGTAAGAAGAATAGAATGGGGTATCGTCAATTCAAACATTATTAAAGATCAAGGAAATAAGGAAAAATTAATAAGGTAGGCCCTCTTTTAAAATATAAAAGAGAGAGAAGGAAAAAAGGTATTTATTGAAACTGGCATTATTAAATCAAGAGACTGAGTATGATAATTTATGAATTGATGATACAGGGTTAACCAAATGTGACACATGAGAATATGCTAATCTGCAAATTTAATTTTACAAATAAAAACGTTCCATGCAAGATTCCCGAAATCATACCATAATAAGTTTGTAAAGTTTGCTTATGAAAATGACATGGTAGTATGAAATGTTAGTAAGAGGCATTAATAATTTTTGTCTTTTCTGTATCTTCGGTAAACCATAATAGGCGTAATAAGTATTTTTCCTCTGAATTGGGAGCAGTGAACTTCTGATTTAAATAAAAGACTTGCATTTGTTCTGTCATATATTAAGGAAATTCCCCTTTTAAATCTCAAGCATGCCGCTTTAAGAAAAGGCCATTAAAATAAGTAATTATCGGAAGTTAATTTTGTAAAAAAGTACTAAAGATTCATAAATACTATAGCTATAAATTTAACGTTTTATTTTCTTTATTGACTTAATAACGAAGCTATATAATGATTTAATTATATAACTCAGTTAGCTTAAATGAGATATCATGTTAACTCAAATGAGACTAGTAAACTTAAATAGCTTTTACTCAAGTCTTGTTTTATAAAAGTAACTCTTTGCCAGACGGAAATATGTATCATATTAAGTGATAGTAAATTTTATTTATTTATTTATTTTTGCCGAAACAGTGTAAATGATGAAAATATTTCTTGTTCGAGGTTAATTTTTATTGAAAATGGGTTTGAATTATTTAGATCTTGATTAATCAATTTGATGAATTAATTCAGTAAATTTCATTTTCTAAGAATGTTTTAAACAGTTCTCTGAATAAAATAGAAAATTTTTTAATTTTTCCTTTTAATTTGAATTAAGCAAACTTCCAGTCAATTTATTTCCTTCAAAAATATATTACTAACAATAGAAAGATAGAGTCATATAAATAGTCACGTGTCATATAAAATTTAATACCATTCATACTTCCTGTTATTATTTCATTTGGTTAAACTCAGCCAATGAATGACATGTTAAAAATGCAATGCAATAAAAATGTAATGAATAATTTGCCATGGTTTTATTTAATACAAGAAATTTTTCTACATCTGTTTTCTATACATTTAATTAAAATTTATGCAATGTTTCCTTAAGAACGCAGTTTTCTTTCATTGCATTGCGTTCTTCAGAAACGTAGAATTGCCGAATTCTACTGATCTCTACTGAATTTGTTTTAGAATGTTAAAGCGTGCATATTATAGTTTACACTTTTTTGGTATATTTAGTAAAACAGCTAATTATTTTTATTGATATTTTAAGTGCACTTATATGATAGTAACCATACAAAATCTTTTAATTTATATTTTTTCATATTATGCAAGGATAATTTGCAAATTCCTGATAGAAAGAGCATTTTTAATTTCTCTTAGTTTTTATAGGTAGGAACTAAGTGAATATCGACATCAAACGTAATCAAATTAAGAAACAAATATATATAAGTATATATATATAAGTATATCTATATATCTAAGATCACATGTGTTCTTTTTAAGCATATCTACATTTAATATGCTTTGTCTAATTAAATACAGGTTTACACATTTCGCGGCTGTACATTTCCTTCAGCTAAGGCAGTGGTAGTAATCTCTTTACATATTAGAGTCCATCACAGTCATTCAAAATTCTGAGAAATGTGTAAAACTGATTTACAAAGTGGAGAAACAAATTCTCTGCCACAAAATTAGCTGGAAGTTGTATTCAAAAAGTATGTGCTATGATATTTCTTTTTGCAACTGAAATTTCAATACCCACACATTGGAAGGATAAGAATAGCAAGCAGCTTTCTAATCATATACTCTATCATCAGCTTAATCATTTTATTAAACTTAGTTTTGACTTTCAGCTATAAAATTTAATTTTATATCAAATCTAACTTCGGAACATTTTGAAATTTAACTTATTCTTGTTGAAATGCATGAATTAAAAAAAAAACTTATATGAATTTTTTTAAGAATGAAAAAGTATTCTTAACCTTCCTTTGTGTCATATATTTATTATTTCACCTAAATCTTTGTTTTGAAGATTTTGTTTTCATTCTTGGCACTTCATTAAGCTATCATTTAATCAAATGGCATTTTTAACAGTTGAAGACTGTGTACGCTTAACCATTAGATAATTCATTTAATGTTTATAGTATTTCCTTGTTACAACAGATTGAATGACAGTATTAAATTTACAGTTTTAGGAAAATGTACGATAAATTAAAATTTTATCGTCAATTCCAATAAAAATAAGAAACACTAGAAATGTTACGAATTTAAGTACTTTTATACTACAAAAAATACCAATAATTTTGATCCTTCGTTGTAAAAAGGAAATGCTAAATCTTTACGTTATTCCGTGAAAGCATTTCCAATTATTTCTAAGCACCTTCCTGAGTTTTCAGCAGTTTTGTTATTTCGTGCAACAAGTTATTTAGACTAGAATCTCATATTCTGTAATGTTTATCGGTTTATCTTGAATCGTTCTCTGATATCACGTTAGCTTTAGGCACTAAAGGACATTATTCTTATTACGATCTCACTCATCTTTTGCCTTTACAGACAACGTTCATAAATTTTTCGCAATTATAAGCACTAAATATATAAAGCCTCTAAGGTAAAAGTTCGGTTACTTTAGCATAATTGTCAAGAAAAATTTAATACAAGTCTTTATTTTCTATCAGTATCTCTGTCTTTCGCAGCAAAATTAATTCAAGGTTAAAACTAAGTCTGGCAGTTTCAACTGCTGCTCATATGCACTCATCCATTCAACTGATATTTATCTTAATTCGTAAGTGTCATTATCTTTCTACAGACCTCACTTTTACAATTCCAAACGATAAGCAGAGCAACTAGTCTCATGGTCTTGTAAATTGATAGTGCATCGACTTGCTGAAGGTGCAACGTCAATATTGTTAGCTATCAGGGCTTCCTGATTCACAGCCATCCAATAGCCTAAAGTATCTGTTTCATAAGTAGGTATGATAGTCACTTTTGCATCCTTATCTTTCCATTCTTGCTTTGCTTCCAACAAAGCATTAAACACTTCTTTACTAGGTTTTGTTCCACTAAAGACATAATAACGGGATCTGATACGACGGAAAAAGTCCGCATTGCAGTAATGAGGGTCTCCAAAATGTGGAACATATGTTAAATCGATGTATATAGGTTCTGCAAATTTATCGACTTCTTTATTATCATATTGTTCATTATTTTGATATTCTGGTGATAAATCAGTTTCTTTATTTGATTTTTCTTCTGATTCAGATCGAGGCACTGATGTATCTTTTTGCTCCAAGGATTTTTCACTTTTACTCTCTTTGTAATTACCATCTTGTTTAGTAGTTCGAGTAGTTGTTTCTTTAGCAAGCAATGCTAAACTCCCATCAATATCTAACGGTTCTGGTGGTGAAGGTAGCCCCATTGGTTTATCCCATTCATCTAAATTAAAAGACTTCTTATCTTCAGATTTTGTTTCTTCAGATTGGCTTGAGCTTTCTTCAATTTGCCTTGCAGTATCCCTTGATACTGTTGTTGTTGAAGAGGAACTCGATGACGCATCGTAAGTTTCACTAAAATGGGAAATAGTTGTTTGTGAGGTTTCGCTTCTTTCTTCAGAAAGTCTTGTGGTCTCCATGGCTAACTTTTTAGCATCAGTTGCAACTGTATGATCTTTATATTTAGTTTGGCTCGTATCTGTATCCTTTTCCTCCACCATTTCTCTGATTTTTTCTTTCGAAAATTCAGTTCTTGTTTTACTCTCAAATTGCATAGTTTCTGAGGCTTCTTCTTCCGCTTTTTGTTCTAACATTTTTTTTCTAAAAGTTTCTTCCAAAGGCTTTGTTATTAATAAAAATGGATCTGTTTCAACTTGCTCTAATTCTCCATATGAAGATTCCACTTTAGTAGATGAACTTTCCTTTCTTTCACTGGTTTCATGAATTGATGAAGATTCGCTGATTTCTTTTACTTCTATAACATTATCTTGCCCGACAAAACGATTTAAATCTTCTGTGGTGCCTGAAGATACGATTCGCTTCACCGCTACTGCTTTACTAGATGGCTTTCCTCCTGCTCCAATAATTGCATCCCGAATTTTGTCTTCTGTTAGAATGTCTTCCGCAGAAGTTTCAAGACCAGTATGATATATAATAATTTTCTTTTTAACAGTTCTAGGTTCCTTTTTAGACTTTTTCTTTCTAGGTGATTCCTCTGTTGAATCGCCTTCTGAGGCAAACCGAGATCGCGTTTTTTCTGATGTTTCCTCTTCTCCACACGGTTCAGACATTGATCTTGTGGTTATGATAGTTTTTTCCATTTTATCGTCTTTGCATATTGTTTCAGATACAACTTCTTCGTGAAAATCTTCTGATTCTGTTGATGTTTTTGTTACGGTTTTGTAAATTGTACCACTTTTATTTGTTTCGTAGTGGATCTCTTTCAGTTTTTCTGTTTCCTGCGTTTCTGTTTCTTTTACAGCAGATTTTGATGAAGTAACACTTTTCGTGATAATATCTTCGGTTGACTGACTCTCTTGTTCAAATTGCTTTTGCGTTTTTTCACTTTTCAGGGTCTCTGTAGTACTTCTTGTACTGACATCTGTGGTATCTTTCTCCAGATCGGAATACTCAGATGTACATAGCGTACTTTCAGTTTTCACAAATTTTTCAGACGCACACGAGCTATCGATTTGTTCTTTTTTTTGCTGTTCAGGTACCAATTTTCTTGTTATTACGGTAGTAACCTTTTCTGTTGTTTCTAAGTCGTCTTCTTCGATACCAGATTTAATTCTAGTTATACTTTTTTCATCAATACTTTTTGATGTTCTTGTTAACTTTGTTTCAATACCATCAGCTTCTAAAGTTTCTTTAGAGCTATCTATTTTTGAAGCACTTATTGATAAGCCTCCAGGCGTATGATCATGATATTTTAATACCTTAACTTCTTCAGAAATATCAGGCTCGTCTTCAGTGTTGGACTCTACTTTTTCACCTAGTTCATCCAATGATGAAGTTATAACTTTCGTAGTTTTCTTAACGGTTCTAATTATTCTCGAGCCATCGTCTGCAGTTGTTTCGGTCTCAGTAGCAGAGATGTCATCATCTAGATCAACTGGTGTTGATACTAATTTGGTTGTTGTTATGGTTGTAATCGTCTCAATTACCTCCGAGCCATCTTCACCTAGAACAGATTTTGTTTCTGTAGTTGATATACAATTTTCATCGCTTGTTTCATCAGTGGGCTTGGTCTCTCTTTTTGATTCATCTTTTTGGATGCCATCAGGTGATACTGGTATTTCTTGTGATTTAAGGGAAGTTTCTGTAACCTGAGCTTTCATTTTACTGCTTTTGCCTACCTCTAATTCTTGCTCTCTTATTTCATCGGATGATGAAGTTATAAATTTCGTAGTTTTCGTTACAGTTTTAATTATTTCCGAGCCATCATCTACAATTGTTTTGGTCTCAGTAGTAGACACGTCATCATCTACATCAGTTGGTGATGTTAATAATTTGGTTGTTGTTATGGTTGTAATCCTCTCAATTACCTCCGACCCATCTTCACCTAAAACAGATTTTGTTTCTGCAGTTGACATACATTTTTCATCGCTTGCTACATCAGTGGGCTTGGTTTCTATTTTGGGGTCACCTTTTTGGATGCCTTTAGGTGACACTGGTATTTCTTGTGATTTAAGGTTAGTTTCTATAACTTGAATTCCACTTTTGCTACTAATGCCTTCATCTAAGTCTTGCTCTCTTATTTCATCGGATGATGAAGTTATAACTTTCGTAGATTTCGTAACGGTTCTAATTATTTTGGAGCCATCGTCTGCAGTTGTTTCGGTCTCAGTAGCAGAGACGTCATCATCTAGATCAACTGGTGCTGATACTAATGTGGTTGTTGTTATGGTTGTAATCGTCTCAATTACCTCCGAGCCATCTTCACCTGGAACAGATTTTGTTTCTGTAGTTGATATACAATTTTCATCGCTTGTTTCATCAGTGGGCTTGGTCTCTCTTTTTGATTCATCTTTTTGGATGCCATCATGTGATACTGGTATTTCTTGTGATTTAAGGGGAGTTTCTGTAACCAGAGCTTTAATTTTACTGCTTGTGTCTTCCTCTAATTCTTGCTCTCTTATTTCATCGGATGATGAAGTTATAACTTTCGTAGTTTTCGTAACAGTTTTAATTATTTCCGAGACATCATCTGCAATTGTTTTAGTCTCAGTAGTAGACACGTCATCATCTACATCAGTTGGTGATGATAATAATTTGGTTGTTGTTATGGTTGTAATCCTCTCAATTACCTCCGAGCCATCTTCATCTAAAACAGATTTTGTTTCTGCAGTTGACATACATTTTTCATCGCTTGCTACATCAGTGGGCTTGGTTTCTATTTTGGGGTCACCTTTTTGGATGCCTTTAGGTGACACTGGTATTTCTTGTGATTTAAGGTTAGTTTCTATAACTTGAATTCCACTTTTGCTACTAATGCCTTCATCTAAGTCTTGCTCTCTTATTTCATCGGATGATGAAGTTATAACTTTCGTAGATTTCGTAACGGTTCTAATTATTTTGGAGCCATCGTCTGCAGTTGTTTCGGTCTCAGTAAGCAGAGACGTCATCATCTAGATCAACTGGTGCTGATACTAATGTGGTTGTTGTTATGGTTGTAATCGTCTCAATTACCTCCGAGCCATCTTCACCTGGAACAGATTTTGTTTCTGTAGTTGATATGCAATTTTCATCGCTTGTTTCATCAGCGGGCTTGGTCTCTCTTTTGAATTCATCTTTTTGGATGCCATCAGGTGATACTGGTACTTCTTGGGATTTAAGGGAAGTTTCTGTAACCTGAGCTTTACTTTTACTGCTTGTGCCTACCTCTAATTCTTGCTTTCTTATTTCATCGGATGATGAAGTTATAACTTTCGTAGTTTTCGTAACAGTTTTAATTATTTCGGAGCCATCATCTGCAACAGTTTTGGTCTCAGTAGTAGACACGTCATCATCTACATCAGTTGGTGATGATAATAATTTGGTTGTTGTTATGGTTGTAATCTTCTCAATTACCTCCGAGCTATCTTCACCTAGAACAGATTTTGTTTCTGCAGTTGACATACATTTTTCATTGCTTGCTTCATCAGTGGGCTTGATTTCTATTTTGGGGTCACCTTTTTGGATGCCTTGAGGTGACACTGGTATTTCTTGTGATTTAAGGGTAGTTTCTGTAACTTGAAATCCACTTTTGCTACTAATGCCGTCCTCTAAGTCTTGCTCTCTTATTTCATCGGATGATGAAGTTATAACTTTCGTACTTTTCGTAACGGTTCTAACTATTCTCGAGCCATTGTCTGCAGTTGTTTCGGTCTCAGTAGTAGAGACGTCATCATCTAGATCAACTGGTGCTGATACTAATGTGGTTGTTGTTATGGTTGTAATCGTCTCAATTACCTCCGAGCCATCTTCACCTAGAACAGATTTTGTTTCTGTAGTTGATATACAATTTTCATCGCTTGCTTCATCAGTGGGCTTGGCTTCCCTTTTTGGTTCATCTTTTTGGATGCCATCAGGTGATGCTGATATTTCTTGTGATTTAAGGGAAGTTTCTAACTTGAGCTTTACTTTTTACTGCTTGTGCCTTCCTCTAATTCTTGCTCTCTTATTTCATCGGATGATGAAGTTATAACTTTCGTAGTTTGCTTAACAGTTCTAATTATTTCCGAGCCATGATCTGGAAGCGTTTTGATCTCAGTAGTAGATACCTTATCATCTAGATCAACTGGTGATGATACTAACTTGGTTGATGTTATCGTCGTAATCGTCTCAATTACCTCCGAACCATCTTCACCTAATACAGATTTTGTTTCTGTAGTTGATATACTTTTTTCGTCGCTTGTTTCAAGTTGTTTTTGAATTTGTGGTTGGATTTCACTGACATCAGAAGGCTTTGTTTCTATTTTCGCTTCATCTTTTTGTGTGCTCTCAGGGGATACTGGTGGTTCTTTCGATTTAGGGGAAGCTTCTGTAACTTGTGTTATACTTTTAGTGCTATCGCCTTTCCCTATTTCTTGCTCGCTTACTTCATCAGATGATAAAGCTATTTCTTTTGCTTTTCTTATTGTTTGAGTAACTCTTGTTATTTCAATACCATCTTCGCCAATTATTTTGCTTACCGTAGTATAAGTGTTATCAATCGGGGACGATATTAAAGTTTCTTCACTTATTTCACAGCTTTCCTCTCCGATGCTGGATTTTACTTCGTTTGATGACGCATCAAGGGTTGATGCTTTTGACAATTTACTTTCAGTGAAATCTTCGTGGTGGATGTCTTCAGAATAAGATATTCCGGTGTCTGCTGATGGTTTGTCTTTCTGCGTATATTCAGGTAATTTTAATGTTTTAACTGATGGTTTTTCAGTCTCTTTAAATGCAGAATCATCTTCACTAGTAATATATTCCACACATTTTTCCTTACCCTCTTCGTCTGACGTTACATTGACCATTTTTGTCGTTGTTATTGTTTCAACAATTTCTTTTGTCTCAAATCCATCATCATCTGTTTTGTCAGTTTCAGTGGATAATACAGGGCTTTCTTGCTTTCCTGGAGATGATATTAATTTTGTTGTGGTTGTAGTTGTAATAACTTCCAGTATTTCTGAACCATCTTCTGCAACAGTGCATTTTGTTTCAGTTCTGGAAATTTTCTCTTCTTCATCTTTTAATTCAACATGCTCATCTTTTTGTATTTCTTCATCATGCAATATTTCAGACGGCTTTGATTTTTCAGGTGATTTAGAAATAAATTCGGAAGTCTCTTTTCCTGGACTCAAATGAACCTCTTCCTGTTCACCTAGTTCACCAGATGTTAGTGTTGCCACTTTTGTTCTTGTAACCTTTCTAGTTTCTATTATTTCAAAATCATCTTCTCCATCTATTTTAGTTGCAGTAACAGTTGATTCATCCTCTGTTTCATCTGGTACTGAAATTACTTTTGTTGTGATAATTTTTGTTATTTTTTCAGTTCTTACTGAATCGGGTTCCACTTCAGACGTGCTCTCCTCTGTTATTATACTTTCTACGTCACTTAATCCTTTTCCTTCTTTTTTTTTAGCATCCTCTGTCTTATCCTTTTCAGTGCTACTTGTTTCAGTTGGTTTAGCTACCATTCCTTCAGCATCATAGGAATCTTCCGTAGTAATACATTCTATTACTTCCCAGTCATCTAATTCGTCAGTCAGTTCATCAGTCGATAGAGTTACAATTTTTGTCGTTGTTACTTTTCGAATAGTTTCAACCTCTTCTCTCCCATCTTCAACAGTTGGACTTGCATCTTCATCATGGTCATGCTGTTGGGAATCTAATTTTGTTGTTGTCATTACGGTTGTAATAGTTTCTGTTACTTTTGAATCATCTTCTGCTATAGAGGATTTTACTTCTGTAGATAATGTTATTTTTGTATCAGTAATATCAGTTTTTGATGATTTTGTTTCTGTGTCCTTTTGAATCCCCGCAGCCTGATCTTTATCACTGTCTTTCTTTGATTCAGGTTTTCCTATAGTTCCGCTATAAGTAGTTTTTTCGGTTTCAATAATACTTTCGCTTGAACGGTCGTCCGTATCCTCTTGTTTGCTTAGTTCGTCAGATGATGATATTACCTTTTCTGATGCTACAATTTTAACTGTTTCTGCGCTGCTTTCATCAATACTTTTAGGTGAAGAAGTATCCTCTGCAACTTCATCTTCAGTTGTTACTAATTTTTTTGTGGTTGTAGTAATAACTGTTTCAATTATTTCTGTACCGTCTTCTTTTATAAGAGATTTTGTATCTGTGGTTGATACTTTTTCCGCGTCTATTGTTGGCGCAACTGACTTTATATCAGTTTGATCATCTTTTTTGCTGGGTAAAGTTTCTATAACATCAGAGCTGTCCTCAGTTTGCGGTGCTTCTTGATCATTTAACTTATCAGAAGGCGATGTTTCTGACTTGCTTGTAGTTATTTGCGTAAGAGTTTCGGTTATTTTCAAGTCATCTTTGTCGGTTTTTTCAATTACAGTTCTAGACGTGCCATCACCAAGTTCAGCTGGGTGTGATACTAATTTTGTAGTAGTTATCGTAGTAACAGTTTCTATTACTTCGGTTGATTCTTCTGCGTCCTTAGCTGTTTTGGCGTCTATCTCTAATTGAGCTGTTTCTGCATCATCAGAAGGAGATTTAAGTACCTCAGTTGGCTTAAAAATCTCTTTGGTTGTATCTTCAACTGAAACTTGTTGGATCTTTAATTCTTTGGTTGCATCTGTTTCTTTCTCTTCTTTTGGTTCATATAGCGATGTTAACACTTTAGTTTCTGCTGTTTTTCGTATGGTTTCTGTTACTACAGAACCATCGTCGTCAACAACTTTAGTTTCAATGGTAGAAGTACTATCATCCAAGTCAGCAGGAGCCGACATTAGTTTAGATGTTATAGTGGTAATTGTTTCCGCTATTTCGGAACCATCTTCAGCTACACTGGATTTTATCTCCATTTTCGATATTTTCTCTGCATCACTAGAATCTTCAGTTTCATAAAGCGATGTCTTTCCAGGAACAAACTGTTGGTTTTCATCCTTGGTTTCGAGATCGATGATGGATTCACTTTTTTCTTCTTTATCAGAAGTTTTTGATAGCTTTGTTTCTGATGCTTCTTCAATGTCTTCAGTGAGTGGCGATGAAACTGATTTTACTGTAGTAGTTACAGTTTCAATGATTTCTGAATCATCTTCTGTTAAACTAGTTTTTATTACTTTTGTTGATTTTCTTTCATCTTTTTCTTGTTTTTTGGTTGTTTCTTTTTCAGTATCCATTGTTATTATCTGAGTATCTGATTCACGAGTTTCTTGCAGATGCTGTACGGATTCTATTCTTTCTGATGCAGAGCTGGATTTAGTTATAACTGTTTCAGATGTTGAAGTTTCTGTATCCGCTCTGATTTTCATGTCTAATTTTTTCGAGCGCTCTGTTGATAAAGAATCTTCTTCTGTCGGAATTTCGTGACCACCTGTTTCATATGATGTAACGGATTTAGTGACTACTGAATCCGTTTTCTCTACAAAAGAAGATTCTTTTTCCGTTATTATTTCTTCTATTTCTTCATGTGATACTTTAGAACCACTTTGTGTATACAAGGATTGCTTTGAGAATTTCTCTTCTGTAGCTGGTTTCTCATCGACATATACTTGTCTCGTTGTTTCTTTTGTTTCTGATGTGATCTTTTCTTCCGTCATTATTTTTGATGTAGCTTCTTCTATTATTTCATGCGTCTCAGTTGTCACTTTTTCTTTTGATTTCAGTATACCTTCTTGTAAAATTCGTTCTGCACTTTGTCCATCGAATGGTATTTCAGGAGCATCTGTATCAGGAGATGCGTCGGTTGTAGAAGTCACAGATTCTTCAACTTCTACTTCCACATACATTAGCTTCATTTTTGATGCTTCTGCTATTTTTTCTTCTTCTTCAACTCCTATTCCAAAAATCTTTTCTCTGCAAGATGAAGCTGTCGATTCAAAACTTTCTATTTCAGTAGCACCATGGTCTGAAATCGTTTCTATTTCATCTTCTACAACTGTTTCAGCAAAAATGTATCTGAAGACTTGCTCTGCTTCTGGTTTTTCGTAGACAGCTTTACGTGTAGCCGCATCAATTATTTCTGTAGATATTTCAGCTGAATCTGCTGCGCTTTCTATTGTTTCAGTTGGAATTTCGTGTTTTATTTCATCTGTTTCTGTTTTGAGAGATAAATGCTTTTGGACACCCGAAGAGGACATTTTTTGAAATAAGTCCTCTTCAAGGTGCGATTCCCTGGAAAGCATTTCCTCAAGTTCTTCGCTATAAAACTCAATTTCGTCATTCAATACGCTTTCAGCTATAGGAGATGAAATATCATCTGTATCCACAATTTTCATATCGGTTGATTTTAATTCTTCTATTTGTTTCAATGAGTCTGCGTCTCCCTAAAATGATGACGAAAGAAATTATTATTTAGCAGAAAATCATAATCAAAACTGAAAAACAAAAATTCCTTTTTAAATTCATCTTTAAATTTACATAACACTGCATTGAAATTAATATTATTTTGTAAATGTCCACAGGAAATGAAATACATATTATGCGATAAGACGGGGAAAAAATCTAACTTTACAATTTAATTTTTTTATTATAAAAATCATCAATCGCATTTTAAACTTCAATAAATGTTATTGTCGCGGACTTATTTTATTCCTAATTTTGATTTCAGATTACAAATGTAAATTAATCAATGTTGAAGCATTTCATTTAACAACAAGCTATTTCTAATATATACTCGGATATTGTTTGCGCAAGTAATAGACTCTGTTCACGTGACTTAATTAGAAGATCTACGTTCATTGATGAATTACATTAATTAAAATTTGCTTTGTAATGGAAGAATTACTTGAATGTAACTGAACTACAATAAACGAACAAGATTTCAATAAATTATGGGGAAAATATCTCAGGTGATTTTTTTCAACATTCTGGGAGAAAATTTATTAATGGCGCATCCAGAAACTGAAAGTATTCCAGGAAAAATAATTTCTGAATTTTAAAACTTAAATTATTACACGTAATATTACAAGTTTCATTTCATATTACGTTTTTATATTACTCTTTTTTCTCTTAATATTCATACATTTAAATTATGGGTACTCTTTATTTTCATCATGTCTTTTTTTAAAGTCAATCTACACAAAATCACTTTTATAATGATATTTCGTTTAAATATTTTATGTATATAAAATATTCTTTTTAAAATATTTTACTACAGTGTAATAAGATACAACAAAAAAGATATTGCTCAGTTATCTCAGGTTGCTTTACGTATTTTGAAGAGCGTGATGAATGTGTAAGGTTTATCCTAAGTTTCTAACAGTTATCTTCATTTAAAGCTACTTTCCTGTCTCTTCTAATTTCAACTTACAAATTTCCTGCCAGAGTATGTTTTTACATTTTTACAAATTTCCTGCCAGAGTGTGTAGAATCGCGGTTAATGCAAATGAAGGAAGAGCAGTACTTAAGTCGAAGTTCTACTGACCCAGTTAGAGAGCCAGAGATTCTGACTAGCTCGCGCTTGCCTTTTGGCTACACTCTCTCTAAGCTATTACTACACTCGGCCGTATTTCAGGCCCTTGATAGCTTCGCCGTTTAGTTAGCATTTAAGGGCCAACTCCTGTAGAATATTGATAGCTTTGGCTATATCTTTTAGTTAAGTTTGATTTCCTTAGTACTTTTGAGTTCAAGCCCAAGTGGAGGCTTTTCTGTACGTCCTGAGAATTATGAGAATTACAGGGGTTGGACAAAAATATGGAAACACCTTTAAAAAAAACATGTTTCTTTGCTTAATATGGTGTAGGAAACCCGTTGGCATCCAAAACAGCTTGCAGTCTTCTCGGAATGGATAAATACAGTTCCTGTATGTTTGCCAAGGGAATATTATACCATTCTTCCTGCAAAACGGTGGCAAGTTCAGATAACGATGTTGGCGGTGGATAACGAGAACGCACTTTCCGTTCCAATGTAGACCACAAAGGTTCGATAATATTCAGGTCTGGTGACTGTGGTGGCCAGGGGAGATGGGACAACTCATCCTCGTGCTCAGAAAACCAGTCCTGGACAATGTGAGCTGTGTGAACAGGGGCTTTGTCGTCTTGGAAGACACCATCACCATCGGGGAACAAAGTTTGTACCATGGGATGAACTTGATCGGCCAAAATGTTCACATAAGTCTTGGCAGTCATGTGCCCTGACACAGTTATCATCATGGGGCTAGCAGAGAAACCACGATATGGCTGCCCAAACCATAACAGAACCCCCGCCATGTTTCACTCTTGGCAACAAGCAGTCTGTATTATAGGCTTGAGATGGCGTTCTCCAGACGTAAACTCGGCCAGAAGTGGGAAACAATGTGAAAGAAGACTCGTCAGACCATATTACTCGCTTCCACTGCTCTATAGTCCAGGCTTTATGACTTAAACACCACCTTTTCCTGTTACGGGCATTAGCATCACTGATGAGTGGCTTCTCAATTGCAGCACGGCCAGCAATTCCCTGTTTATGAAGCTCCCTTCTAATTGTTTTGGTACTCACAGGGTTCGGTAACACAACATTCATTTCAGCAGTAACTTTTGCAGCTGTGGTCTTCTTATTTTTCGTCACAATTGCCCTTAATGATCGTCTGTCACGATCACTCAGGACACACTTTCGTCCGCGCTGTGATTTAGCAGATGATGTTTTTCCGCTTTTCAAATATGCGGAATAAATCTTCGATACAGTACCTCTTGAAACACTAAACACCTCGGCTACCTTGCTTACGGAAGCACCTACCATACGTGCTCCAACAATTTGCCCACGTTCGAAGTCTGTTAACTCTGACATAATGCAATGACAACCTCACATAACAGTACTCCGACAACAACTGAACTGTTTAGCACATTTACGAAGTTGTATAGGTGGCGTCAGTAGTCAAAAAACGCCAGCGCCACCTACATATTTCATTAAAATCAATCTTTCTTTTCAAACATGCATTTCACAAGGTGTTTTATTTTTGTCCATCCACTGTATGCCATTGTTAAACCGTTTTGAAATAGAAAAAAAACCCTCTTGAGGTTTTTCTTCGAGCTAAAGCGATTATTCGTTTAATTCTAAGGTTCACACAGCTGCAAATTCTAGGTGGACCATAAATGATACATTAATACGCTGATGGTGAGTGTACGAAAACAAACTCAAAAAGTTCATTTGAAATATAGATCTTGATTATTGGTGTAGCCCCAAATGACTCAGGATTTTAGAGAAACTTAAATAATTCCACACTTTTTTCATGATACCTATCTTTCGATCATAGAGGCAAGGAAAGTGGGAAAACTCTGAAAGAAAATATTGCCTGGAGCTGTACGTTAGTTTGTTGGGCCTTGGTAATAGTTTCCAGACTATTAAGATTTCGGAGCGGGAATGAATGAGAAAAATCAACTGCGCCGTTGCCTGAAGTTAAATGTGGATATTCAGATTGCTAATTTCTACATCGTGAGGGTTGCAGTTGAGAGGAATGTAGTAATTCATTACAATATAGCTATGAAAAAATACTGTAATGCGTAGCTCAACCTCTTATTTCAGATGGAATGGTTTACCGCCTTATTTCCTCGCAACTTCGATTGGCAAGCACACATAATATGCAGGGCAGAAAGTATGGAAATATAATGCCCTGAAAATGATGTGAGGTTTTATACTGAAATCATGGCAAGCTACTTGCTGAAGAACGCAGCAGATTAGCTACATCCTTCAATATGTAACTTCCCAAATTTTTAGATACTCACTAAAAAATTTAAATAAATTATTTAAAAAGTATCTAAATAATTTTTCGACCATATAAATACTATTATAAGCATTACATTAATTACTCAAGGGTGTATACTAATGGTGCGGATATTGCAGATCTCATCAAATTTTCACTTATTTATTTAATGAAATTATTATTATTGCGAGAGCTAAATTGTTTAACATGGTTCGAGTTTTGTACGTAATGCTTGTTGTTCACAGAACTGTTTTTAGTTGACTTTTGATTACTAAAATCGATATATTTCTCTAAAGTAGATAGTTAAATGTCAACTGAATGTTTTGCGCCGCCCTGTTGGCATAGTGATTGGTTTAGGTTCGAATTCCAGTGAAAGCAAGGTATTTATAAGAGTATTGTGTGTATGCGGCATTGATGCACTTTAAGTACTATAGAGCTGAATGTTCTTTCGAGAACTGAGTAGAAAGTGCAAAGGGGTTGTTGAATCTCGGATCCTGAATCCGTGCCTGGAAGATTCTTCTTTAAAACTGGGACAGAGGTGGACGAATTCGTACTGTTGTCTATAAGGTCCCCGAGACCTAAGCGTACGATAGGCGCAACATTCGCCTATCACTAGCTTAGGTCATGACAGCGATAAAATTCGTGCACTTGATCTGATGTTATTCTCAGACAAGTAAGTCAAAACAAAACTTGTCATATGTTACCTTCACATGAAAATTTTCTCTCATTCGTTATCTTTAATTTTCAATACTACTACTGTTAAATAAAAAGTTTAATGTTATAGGAAGCACTGTTTTGTTTTCTTCAGCTTACCTCTTCACGCAGTTCAAGCTCTTTTATAACCTTCGGTGAGTCTGGCTTTTCTTCATCTTCTTCCTTTGCATGAGTCGGTGATTTTTTTGCGTCCTCAGCGGGTGCTTTGGTTTTAAGAATTTCTTTCTCCGCTTCAGGTATTGTATCTATTATTGCTTTGTCCTCTGCTGCACCTTCTACGGGTGAAGAAGCCAATTTTTGTTCTACTATCTCATCCACTTGCACTTTATCTTCAATTTTTACAGCTTTTTTCAAGTCTTCTTTACGAGATATGAATTTTTTCCTTACTATTGTAATAATTTCTTCACGATATTCAATTAGGTACGTAATAATTACCTTTTTACTTATAGCTATGTTCTTCCTCATAAGCTCCTCGCATATAGTTTCTAGAATAATTTCTTCCCAATCTTCTTCTGATAGACCTTCCAATTTGATGTCCCTGATGAGGACATACAGCACATTTTTATCTTCTGCTGTCATTTCCTTTTTTATTTCTGCCATAGAGATAAGTTCAGTCTCTTCTACTGTCAGATCTTGTTTACGAGATAAGTATTTTCTTCTCACTATTGTAATGACTTCCTCACGGTGTTCAGTGAGGTACATTATAACGATTGTTTTGCTTATTATCATGTTCATTTTCGTTAGCTCTTCGCATACAGTTTCTAGAATAATTTTTTCGCAATCTTCCTCCGGCAAATCTCGCAGGTTGATGTCCTTGATGAGGGCAGACAGTACCTTTTTATCTTCCACTGTCATTTCCTTTTTTATTTCTGCCATGGTGATACGTTGTACTGAAGGAGAAATATTTTCTTCTTTTAATTTTGGTTTCAGATCCTCTTCACGGGATAAGCATTTTCTTCTCACTATTCTAATAATTTCCTCACGATGTTCAATGAGATATACCATAATTACTTTTTTACTTATTGTTAAATTCTTCTTCGTAAGCTCTTCGCACAGAGTTTCTAAAATAATTTGTTGGCAATCTTCTTTCGATATATTTTCTAAATTTATATCATGGACAACAAATGATAGTAGCTTTTCATCTTCTGTTGTTATTTCTTTTTTTATATAGGCTACCGATATATGTTCTTCATCCTCTCTAGATTTTGGTGTTACCTCCTTCTTTGCAGTTTCTGGTTTCAACTCATCTTTCGGTGATACATCCTTCGGCAATTTTGGTGTTAATTTCTCTTCAGGAGACTTAGGTTTTTTATCTTCTGTGCGCATTTCCTCTTTCGGTGATACTTGTTTTTCAATTTCTTTTGATGATTCCCTTTCAGATTTAACGCTTTGTTTAAATTCTTCTTTTTGTTTGATTGATATTATGTCCTCCTGTGGTGATACTTGCGTTTCTGTCTCATCTGGAGATTTTAGTTTAATATCCTTCTTGGATGATATGCTTTCCGATCGCAATTCAAGATTTTCCTCCTCTTTAGGTGATAGTTGCTTTTCGATTTGTTTTGGATATTCCGATTCTTCTGCTTCTTTTGATGGTTCTGGTTTAGTTTCCTCTGTTTCTTTTGGTGACTGTGGTTTTATATCTTCTTTTACTTTTTCTAGAGGTATTTCTGCTTCTATAGTTGATGGCTGTGTTTTCAGAGACTCTGGTTTTGCTGTCTTTTTCTCTGGAGACAACAGTTTCTTCTCCTCTTCGCCCAAAATTAACATTTCTTTTTCTTTTCCTTTCGGCGATTCTATTTTTTCCTCTTCTTCTGGTAATTCTGACTTCTCGTCTTCCTTCGGTGATTTTAGTTTAATTTCTTTCGGTGACTCTGGCTTTATTGTGCCTCTTTCTGCCAATGGCTCCTCTTTTGGTGATAAATGCTCTTCCGTTTTATCCGGTGATTTTGACTTTACATCTTCTGTTTTCAGTTCTGTCTTTACATCATCTCTTAGTTCTGTAAGCATTTCTTCTGCTTTGGCATCTTTTGGTTTCTCCTCTTCCTTTAAAGATTTTGGTTTTAATTTTTCTTGTATTTCCTCTTTTACCTCGTCTTCGAGGATGTCAGGTTTCTCCTCTTCTTTCGGTGATTTTGATTTCATTTTTTCTTCCGGCTTCTGTTTAATCTCCGCAAGCTTTTCTTTTTTTTCGAGGATTTTAGGTTTATCTTTTTCTTTTGGTGATTTGGCCTTTGTTTCTTCTTCTTCTTCGAGTTCTTTCTTATCTTCTTGTTTCAGTTCAGAAGGCTTTCCTATTTCTTCCAAGAGTTTGGGTTTGTCTATTTCCTCTGATACTTCTGGCTTTAATTGCTCTTTCTTCGATTCTACTTCGACTTCTTTTTTTAACTCTAGAGGCTTTTCGTCTTCTACTGGTATTTTAATTTTGTCCTCTTTTGGTGTCTCTAGCTTTATTTTATCCTCCATCAATTCTACTTTGGGTTTCTTCTCTAAGTCTTTAGGTTCTTTTTCTTCTGAAATGTTAGGTTTTTGCGCTTCTTTTGGTGATTCTGGCCTTATTATTTCTTCCTTTTCTTCTGTTTGGGGAGCCTTCTGTATTTCCATCGGCTTTTCTTCTTCTACAGGCATTTTAGGTTCCTTCTCTTCTTCCGGTGGTTTTAGTTTTATTTTTTCTTCCTCCTTTTCAACTTCAGGCTCTTCTTTTATCTCTTTAGGCGTTTGTTCTTTTGGAGTTTTAGGTTTACTATCTTCCTTCGGTGTTTCTGGCTTTGTTTCTTCTTCCTTCTTTTCTGTTTCGAGTTTCTGTATTAACTCCTTAGGCTTTTCCTCCTCTTCTGCTTTTTTCTCTTCTTTCGGGGATTCTGATTTTAATTTTATTACCTTCGTTTCTGCTTCTAGTTCCTCTTTTATTTCTTTAGGCTTTTCTTCTGGGATTTTAAATTTAGGTTCCTCTTTCGGTATTTCCGGCTTCATTATTTCTTCCTTTTCTACTTCAGGTTTTTCATCTTCTGTTGGGATTTTAAATTTCGCCTCTTCCTTCGGCGATTCTGGCTTTTTAATTTCTTTTTTCTCTTCAATTTTAAGTTCTTTCGGTAATCCTGTAGTTAGTTCTCCTTCCGAACTTTCTGCTTCTACCCCTTCCTTTACCTCTTCAGGCTTTTCTTCTTTTATAGAGAATTCAGGTTTCCTTTCTTCCTTCGGCGATTTTGGCTTTATTATTTCATCCTCCATTTCTGCTTCAGTTTTCTTCGCTGATTCTTTAGGTTTTTCCTCTTCCACAGGTATTTTAGGTTTCTCTTCTTTCTTTGGTGATTCCGGTTTTATTTTTTCTCCCTTTACTTCTAGTTCAATATCTTCTTTTATTTCCTTAGGTTTTTCTTCTTCTACGGGTATTTTAGGTGGTACCTCTTCTTTCAATAATTCAGGTATTATTTCTTCTACCTTCTTTTCTATTTCGGGCTCCTCCTTTACATCCTTTGGCTTTTCATCTCTCACGAAAACTCCCGGTTTTTCCTCATCTTTTGTTGATTCAGTCTTCACTGTTTCTTCCTTCTCTTTAATTTCAGGCTTTAACACTTTCGGTTTTCCTTCTTCCGCAGGCATTTTAGATTTCTCGTCTTTCTTTGGAGATTCTGGTTTTATTTTTTCTCCCTTTACTTCTAGTTCAATGTCTTCTTTTATTTCCTTAGGTTTTTCTTCTACGGGTATTTTAGATGGTTCCTCTTCCTTCCATGATTCAGGCTTTACTTCTTCTACCTTCTTTTCTATTTCGGGCTCCTCCTTCATATCTTTTGGCATTTCATCTTTTACGAAATCTTCAGGTTTTTCTTCTTCTTTTGGTGATTCTGGTTTTGTTACTTCCACTTTCTTTTCTAATTTGGACTCATCTTTTATCTCCTTATGCTTTTCTTCTGGAGCTTCAGGTTTTTCATCTTTCTTTGGTATTTCTGGCTTTATTATTTCTTCCCTTTTATCTACTTCCTTCGGTGATTCTGGTTTTATTTTTTCTTCCTTTGTATCTATTTCGACCTTTTCTTTTATTTCCTCAGGCTTTTCCTCTTCCTTCGTCGATTCGAGCTTTTTTTCTTCTTCCTCTTCTGCTTCGGACTCTTCTTTTATCTTCACAACCTTTTCGTCTTTGAGAGAAACTTCAGGTCCGTCTGCTTCTTTTGGCGATTCCAATTTGGGTACTTCTACTTTCTTTTTTAATTCAGGTTCATCTTTTATCTCTTTGGGCTTTTCTTCAGGGATTTTAGACTTCTGTTCTTCTTTTGAGATCTCTGGTTTTATTATTTCTTCCTTCTTTTCTGCTTCAGGTTCCTCCATTTTCTCCTTTGGTTCTTCCTCTTCTGCAAGTACTTTAGGTTTTCCCTCTTCTTTCGGTGACTCTGATTTTATTCCGATTTCGGTCTGTACTTTAAGTTCCCTAGGTTTTTCGTCTTCTAAGAGTATTTTAGTTTCTTTCTCTTTTTTTGGTGATTTTGGCTTTGTTTCTTCCTCCTTCTTTTCTACTCTGGACTCTTCCTTTATCTCCTTAGGCTTTTCTTCTTTTACGGAGACTACAATTTCCTCTTCTTCTTTTGGAGTTTCTGGTTTTGTTACTTCAACCTTCTTTTGTAATGCGGGCTCCTCTTTTTCCTCAGGCTTTTCGTCTAAAATGTTAGGTTTTTCGTCTTCTTTCCGTATTTCTGACTTTATTATTTCTTCCTTCTTTTCTGAGTCAGACTCTTCCTTTTGCTTCTTCGGTTCTTCCTCTTCTTCAGGGATTTTAGGCTTTTCTGGTTCCCTTAGAGATTCTGGCTTTAATTTTTCTTCCCTCCTATCTAGTTTGGGCTCTTCCCCTACATCCTTAGACTTTTCTTCTTCTATGGGAGTTTTGAGTTTTTCTTCTTCCTTTGGAGATTCTTTCTTTATTTTGTCTTCTTTCTTTTGTACTTCGGGTTCTTGTTTGATCTCTTCAGGCTTTTCATCTTGTATTGGAATTTGGGGTGTTTCTTTTTCTTTCGGTGAATCCGGCATTTTTATTTCTTCCGGTTTTTCTAATTCTAGCTCTGGCGTCTGCTGAGTCTTTTCCTCTTCTATTGCTAATTTTTCTTCTTTTAAGGGTTCTGGCTCTTCCTGTTCTTTGGAAATTTCTTTTTTTTCTTCCTCTTTGAGCATTGGTGTTTTGATCTAAGATATTGATAGAAAAAGAAAATAAAAAAATGTACGTTTATTGCACCATTTATAGTTATACTTGATTATCAAAACGAAACTAATCCTAATATTTCTTTAATTTAAAATTTTATCAGAGAGATGAAACATTAATTCATGGAATACAACTAGAATGAATAAAAATTTCGTGAAACGAAATAATATTAAATACTGCTAGAATATAATTTCCAGTGTGCAATGATATTTCATCAAGAATATTTAATTATATATTTCATATTTCCGTGAAATATTTTTAAATTAATATATATATTCTTTTTTTCTATTTAATATATATATATATATATATGTAAGTTGTTGTTAAGTATAGTATGATGAGGGTGTACTGGTTCCTTCAACAGAGGCCTGTAATTACCTCTGTACAGTTGTTCCTTTTACGCTCTTCAAGTAAGATAATGTTGGAGGCTCTCATTTTATGAATGCATGTAAATTTTTTATATTATTATTATTATTATTATTATTATTATATTATTATGGAATGTATTAATGCAGTTCTCAAAGGCCAGTTACCTTAATGCAAGGAACGGAGGCCTTTTCAAGTAACTGTCTAGGCACCCTGGGCCACCAGTGCAGAGGACACACTGGTTAGCTCAAGAGGACAGCCCTCTTGATGGATATGTTTGTTTAGAAGTATTGCGAGGCTTCCAGTTTGGTAAAATCAGGAATTGTAAATGAAAGATGATAACGGTGAAACCATAAATTTTGAAAATCTTAATCCTATTATTTATGATGTTAAATTATAATTTATCAGTATGGAAATAAGTATCATAAATATTTATGTGCATTAAATTTAATTATAATAAATGATTATGTAAAAGTTTTTGTGATATTCTGTAATAACAAGAACCTTCCCTGATGAATTATGATTATCTGAACTCTCAAACAAAAAGAACTTTTGGACTGAAATGTTGAAAAATTTCAATAGGACTCTAAAAATTAAGAATTTATTTAAAAAAAAAATTGATATTTATAAATAATACTTTACAGGATCAAAATTTTTATTATTTATTTATATTTTTTTTAATTTGCTTGTGCTTTAACTCTTTTTCTTTAAAAAGGCTTCTCTGTCGCTACGCCTTTTTCTTTTTGAAGGGGGGAATATGTAAGATAAAAAATATGAAAGCAAACTTCTAAACTTAATTCACTATAACTTCCATTATTTTCTATTTCATTTGAGAACTTCCTCTATCTGTCCTAAAAATAGCGATTAAGTCTAAACTGCGTCATTCAAATTAATCACGCGATCTTACTTAACCCATAATGCAGATCCCTCTCGACCAATCACCAAATTGAAAACCAAAACTTTTCTCTTCGCGTGCTTCCATCTTTCATAACTACGCACTTCAGCTTTTGCCCTCTACTCTGCTAAGATGTAATTTCGCTGGCTTGCTTTCTATCCCAACAATATCAAAAATGTAAATCTTCTGTGGAAAGGCACGACTAGAGTGCCAAGTGATTGTGGTCACAAATATCAATTGGAAATAAAAATTGAATTAAAACTGCTTCGACTGCCAAGTTCTTTAGATATTACCAAGTTAGCATTAGCATACTACGCAATCAAATTCTTCTTCAGTATGGGTCTAATCACGCATCTACAATGTTCCGTCTTTTTCCTGTGCTTTTATTATGAGATATATATATATTATGTATTGTTTTTCGTTTATTGGTAGCTTTTACTATATTTGATTTTTATTTGTATGGAAATAAATAGAATTAAGTAGAAATTTTAATGACTTTTCGCTGTCAAATAAGGATGTAACATCAAGCAGAAAAAACATCAAGGCACTTCTGAAGCTGCTGATATAACTATTTAAAATTGTTAATGTTTTTAAGAAAACAATAATCCTAAATTCGCAAGATTATTCAACTGCGTATGAAATGGTGAGAAGAAAACAAAATAAATTTTTATTCATTTGTAAATTTTTTGATCGAAGACTAGTTTATCTGCATTGATCGAAGACTAGTTACTGCAATGTAAGTTTTAAACCTTTGTGACGAATTTGCGTACTTTCTTATGGGATTTGGCGTAGCTTGACAAAATATTTCATTAGCATATATTTGCGAAGTTTGATCCAAGAGTTAAGGGCTTGTCATAAGTTATGCATGTAATTTTTTATGTCTAAAGGGCACCACTATACTTTTGCGAGATACCATACAGGCTCCACCACGAGAGCTTAAAGCTTTTGAGTAAAAATTCTTTGCAAATATTTTGATATTGCGAAGATGTTCAATAAAATTCGTAATAATAAATAAACAGCAATGTATTCCTGAAGATGTACTGCTGTTTGATAGATATTTAAGAGAAATAAATCAGGTCATTTTATACTTTCTTTGTAATTAATTGTCACAAAAGAAAGAAAGTGTACTTTGAAGTTAATTACTTGCTAATATGATTCTGTACTTTTAGTTCAAGCGCTTAGTGACTGGAAACGTAGGGAAATATAAATTCTTTTTTTGGTAACATGTTCGTATATTACCCAAATGAAAGCCGGCTTCTTAGCTTCAAGCGCATTATTTTATGGCAATAAAGTAATTAATCCTGTCGAAAATAAATGTATGGATGGAAAATTGGTGATATGGTGATCAAAAATTTTCTTTACGTTTAGACGTAAATTTCTCATTAAATCAAATAAAACAACGAACAACAAGATTTTTGACTGAAATTATCAACTTTCGGTACTGTCACAGTATTCCTTGATATTCAGTCATAGCGTATATTACTATCAAATAGTTCGAACAGGTGTGGTTCTACTACATTTGTAAAAGGGATATCTGCTGTACTCATAAATTGCATAGTAGTACAATTTGAATGTTGCATTACAGATCGTACGCAGTTATCCAATAATTCATTGGATTCTAGTCCCACCATTGTTCATTCCGTCCATTAAAACAGTCAGTTTACATCGTCAGGATAGAATTTTCAACATAAAAGAAATTTTAAAAAATAATATATATTTAAAAGACTTGCTCAATTTTACTTAAATGTGTAACAAAGGAAAAAAAAGTTGGTTGTAAACTTCTTGATCGTATATGACTCAAAACAAAATGATAGGACGTCCATATACGAATTGTACAGAACATAAACATAATTTCAAACGAATAGCATAAGGGATAGTTTTAAAATGATATACCGCATATTCCGGCGTATAAAACGCACCTATAATTCAAATCACATTTAAAAAATTTTTAGGTATACTCATCGTATAACGCATAATCTTTTCTTTACGAAAAAATCTGAAAGATGCATATGCGATGCTCTTTTCTTTTAACGTCATTCCATTCATTCGAAGATTTTCCGTAGACTTTCAAACAGTGGTATACTGAACTGAAAAGTGATAACAGGAAGCAATATCCGCGGATATTGCTTCCCGGGGAAATGCACGAGGAAGTAAATAATTCTGCAAAAAGGGGTAGGTTTTATTCAATATAAATGGGCAGAAGAATGTTATTCTAGAGTTATTCATAGCAGTTATTACAGGCAGATTAAAGCCATTAGATTAATGCCATTCTTTAGATGTGTGGCCAATAAACCATTCAAAGACAATTTAAAACGGCAGTGGAATATGTGAATGTTAGAAGGTAAAAAACATTTACAGAAGGAGGTCAAATGTGTCGTGCCAGTCTAGAAATAGTGCGTGAGTGGATAATAAAAGCACGGAATGAAATTCAACCCGACATAATTCAAAAGCCATTTAAAAAATGTAGTATATCAGACATTTTAGATGGAACGGAAGATGATTATTTATTTATGGATCAGAGTAACAATGATGGTCAAGATGAAACAGAATTCGATATGTGCCTGAAGATATAATGGAAGACGAATATGACGACCTTTTCATATTATCCGATAAAGAAAATTTTTTAGTTGATAAGGTGTTATTTCTATTAAATTAACTACAGGTAACCCTCGTATAACACGGTAGATAGGTTCCTAGAAAATGCCGTGTTGTGTGAAACCGTGTCGTATGAGACCCAGAGGCAGTATAAACACGGGGGTTACGTTTCGAAAACTTATTTAAAACAAATATTTTTTTTAAATTCTACGTAAACAACTTAATTTTTATTAAACATATATATGTATGCAAAACACAAAACAAAAAATATTATATATTTTAATTTAACGCAAATTTAGTTTAATAAATTTCTTCGCTGTCACTGCTCAGTATAATCAACCGAGAACGCCTTTTTCGGTGGAATGAAATCGCTTTCACTTTCAGAATTTCGTTCTTCCTTTAAAGTTTGCATTTTGTTCCCTCTTTAAATAATTTGTAATTTTACTTTGCTTACTAGTTCTTAGCGAGTCAATGTAAATTTCTCGATATGGAGCTAGACGGTTTTGCTGCTTCCATTTGAATTTCCGGCCTATTTCAGTAGAAGGGTCTGCAGTCAAGAAAAATGATTCGAAATTTTAAGCTAAGCTTAGGCCTTCTTTTAATTTTTTTAATGTTAAATTATTAACTGCACAATCCTCATCAGTGCTAGTGTCCTCAGAATCAATTTGATTTACGGCTACGGATGCCATTTCAATCAAATCTGCTTCGTCAATTTCTTCTTCCGCTAATAATCTTGAACTTCCTCAATACCCATGTCGACGAAACCTTCGTCTCCGATTGATTTAGCAAGTTTTAATAAGCCACCAGTTTCATTTTCTGACGGCTCAGGCACGTTTTCTATTTCAACTGAAGAGAGCCATATCTTCTAAAATGCATTTAACTTTGATGCTTTCAGTTCTTTCAGAGACAAAGATACGATGTCGATACAGTGCTGTCCTGTATGTCTTCCAAGCTTCCATGACATTAATTGATTTTGGATCGGTTACTGTAATGCTATTCTTATATAATATGTTTTAAATAATACCTTGATTCAATGGTTGGAGTAACAAAGTAGTGTTAGGTGTTAGGAACAGTATTTTGATGTTGGGATGATTCAAATCTTGTAGATGACATAAGGCATTATCTAAT